AGAAAAAGACGGGTTCACTGCTCGAGCGTCTCTAGCCTCCTCCTCGAGCCAGCCCACTGGGCCCACGTCTCGGTGGTGGACCGCCTGGCCCTCGGCCTCGAGGGCGGGGCTGATCAGGATTTGGCCCTCACACATGGGCGCGCCTAGCGCGCCGATCACCAGTTTCGTCTTGTCGTGGTCGTAGCACTTTTCCAGGCGCACGAAGTTGATGGCGTCGAGGATATCTTCCTTGCTGATCTCCGTCTCCGCCTCGATATCCTCGATGGCACCCTTCATGGAGCCGCCCACGTCGCACTTGTACAGTCCTTCTAGGGCCGTCAGCGCGCGGGACGGAGCTGGCGACCCTATCTCCTGCAGGCATTTCTTGTCCTCTGGGGGGCCGTTCTTCCTGAGGGAGTCCATAATGTGCTCGTAGCTTTCGTGCTCCTGCGTGATGGCATCTACCTGCTTGCCATGCTCGTCGTAAATGTCTAATTGCATGATCTTGATGTTCCGTTCGGCCTTCTTCGTAGCCCCGTGACTGCCCAGTGAGGCCAGGGTGTCCTGCTTACCGATGTTCTGTGCGCGTTGAGTTCCATTCTGTATGAGTCCTATCCTCAGATACAATCGCCATAATTGGTCGAAACAGCGAGATAAACGTACGCATGCATGAATGTCCTGAATCACATTACCAGTGGGGCTTTTTTCCTTTTTTGCCGATGTCGAAAGTCTGGATGATGGTGGAGCTGACGTCGTGATCGATCTCGAGCTTCCGTCGACTGGGGTGATAAACTCGCTCAGCGAGCGGGTCCGCGTATTGATAATCTGCAGTGTCATGTCCCATTCCTGCCCTTTGAACACCAGTGCGCATAAGGTGCTGTAGGGTGAGGAGCATGATGGTGAGTTCGATGGGCCTTGAAGAGAAGCAGGTGGGTCGTCGGACTGGAAGTTGATGATCAGGGCGCTCGTCACCAGGGTCATGTTCATGTCGACCTTTAAGTCCAGGTGGCAATTCAAGTCCAGCGTGCAGTTGTTCCACTGGTGGCGGTTCAGGTGCAGCGTGGTGTAGTCCTGCACGTACTGGCCCTCTGTGTTCGTGAAGACGTTGAAATTGAAGTTCATCGTCCAGTCGTCCAGGGTCAGCGTGTCGTACTCCTGCATGTGCTGGCCCTCTATGTCCGTGAAAAAGTTGGAATTGTCGCTCAGCGTCCAGTAGTCCTTCGCGAGCTGGGTGTGTAGGTAGTGGTCCAGCGTCCAGTAGTTCGGGGTCAGCGTGTCGTAATCCTTCATGTGCTGGCCCTCTGTGTTCATGGAGATGTAGCTCAGCGTCCAGTCCCGCACGTACTGGCCCTCTGTGTTCGTGAAGATGTTGAAATTGACGTTCAGCGTCCAGTCGTTCAGGGTCCGCGTGTCGTACTCCTGCATGTGCTGGCCCTGTATGTTCGTGATGATGTTGGGATTGATGCTCAGCGTCCAGTAGTCCTTCGCAGTGTGGGTGTGGGGGCAGTAGTCCAAGTGGCAAGTCACGTTCAGCGTGCAATTGTTCCACTGGTGGCAACTCCTGGGTCGCATGGTGTGATCCTGCCTGTGCTGGCCCTCTGTATTCGTGAGGATGTTGTTGTTGAAGCTCAGCGTCCAGTAGCTCAGGGTCAGCGTGTCGTAATACTTCGGCATCGGCATCGTCGTCTGGCTGGTGGTCAGGTGCTTGGGCCATGCGCTCGTCCATGTTCCTGTTGTCAGCGAGCGAGTCCTGTGCTTAGCAGGTGTGCGGCGCCCGCGCTCCGGAGCACGTCCGTGGCGGCATGGCGGTGTGCGGGGTATCGTCAAGAGGCCACCTGCCTTTCGGGCAGGGCGAGGGGGCGGTGACTGGAGGCCGCTGCTCCATCAATGGCCTGAGCGCGCGGCGGCCTTTGATGATGATGATGATGATGATGATGATGATGATGATGATGATGATGATGATGATGATGATGATGATGATGATGATGATGCGGAGGAGGAGGAGGAGGAGGAGGAGGAGGAGGAGGAGGAGGAGGAGAGGAGGAGGAAGGGGAGGGGGGAAGGGGGGGGAATGGGGGAATGGTACCATGAGGAGGAAGACGACGAGGAGGAGGCGGAGGATGAGGAGGAAGATACCGAGCAGGAGGAGGACGATGAGGAGAAGGAAGGGGAGTTGGGGAATGGTACCATGACCAGGAGGAGGAGGAGGAGGAGGAGGAGGAGGAGGCGGAGGATAAGGAGGAGGAGGAGGAGGAGGAGGAGGGGGAGGAGGAAGAGGGGGAGGTGGAGGAAGAAGAAGAGGAACACGATTGAGAACATTATTATTAGGAAGTCGAATCATACGAACACTACGACGAATCATACCAATACTGCGAATACAAATAATCAGAATCCGAATACTAATAGTAATACTGATAGTCGTAAGACTACGAATAATGCGAATACGAGGACGAACACCATGACGAATAATACGAATACTAGTAACCAGAATACGACTACTAGTACGACGAATAAGATTTACTAATAACATTACGACGAAGAAACGACGAGGAAGAGGAGGAGGAAGAGGCGGGTGATGATGATGATGATGATGATGATGATGATGATGATGATGATGATGATGAGGAGGAGGAGGAGGAGGAGGAGGAGGAGGAGGATGCGGTGGTTTCGGTGAAGGGGGATACCTGGGGAGGAGGAGGAGGAGGAGGAGGATGAGACACAGAGGAAGAGGCAGAGGAAGAGGATGCTGAGGAGGATGAGGATGCTGCTGATGATGCTGATGCTGATGCTGATGATGCTGATGATGATGCTGATCATAATGATGATGGTGATGATGATGATGATGATGATGATGATGATGATGATGATGATGATGATGATGGTGATGATCATGATGATGTTGATTATGATGCTGATGA